CCATGACGATGACTGACATCACGAGCAGAGCACCACCCGGAATAATGAAGACGTAGGCCCAGCCCAAAGACTCGATAATGCTGCTGCCGGTGCCCAGTGACAAGTAGTATCCGCTCGTCAACATTGTATTGAAAACACCAGCAAACACTCCTCGTTCACTTGCCAGGTACCAAGCCGCGTTGATCTTTACCACAGCGCTCGTACCGAAGCCCTGCATGAGGAAGTTCGCCGCGTAGAAAACAATGAAGAAGATTTGCCTCACAACATGCGACCCGTTGCTGAGAAAGATGACTCCGAGTGCTAGATTGCAGAGTGCTGCTCCGACACACGAAAGGATCATGCCCTTTCTTCCGCCAATATAATCGGTAATTTGCCCCGTGAAAGGAGAGCTGACGGCGTACGCCCAAGACCCTGCAGAGAGAACCCTATGGTCGCGACATTAGCGCATGTAAAACAAACTCTGGTAGATCATCGAGACGTACCAGCCCATGTAGACAGAGGAGAAGCCAAGCTGATTGCGCACCGATGAAACGTTGCCGGCAGCGACGTTATACCGAGCCATATAGAATGCAGCGTAGACAACACCCATGGGAAACCAGTTCAATAATCGTCGCCATCTACTCACACAGAACAGAGAGAATCATGAGCAGCTATCGAGGCCAACAAGGGGGTTACAGGTGCCTTACCGATAGCGTCTAGAGAGCAACTTCCGTCCTTGCGGGCTGAGTTCGACATCGTACACGACGCTGCAGCTCACGAACGTGAAAATGAGCAACGAAATGACTACCTGGACATCCATTAGACGAAGTTGTTTTGGTCTGCCCACCACGAGGAAAATGCGAGAATGATTGCCAAAAAGACAATCTCGAGCGAGAGGCTGGCTGCATTGCAATCGAGTGCTATGCGATCCAGCAACGCCCCCGTGACCTCTCGCACGTGCGGCGTCACAAACAAAGAGATAAAGCAGAGATTCTCCTCCATTCGTTGACTTGTTGAAGTGCTTTTGAAACGGCTACGGAAAAATCGGAGCCCACCTAGAGGTCCAATCAGCGCTTTTGTTTCTTTCGGAGCCCTCTCAGTAGGCCAATTAGCGCCGACCTTTGCGTTTCGCCACTCGACTTCAACAACAAATGGCTGTACGCTGAATCCCCGCCTTATCCATTTTTGAGCTGCTCAAGTGAGGCTTAAGAATAGCTGAGCGTGAATAAAAGTTTGTCGGGCAACTTGATCTTATCTACTAAGTACAAGCTTTGATGCAGGTGAGGGTGAACTCTGCCTCGGTTTTGAGTTCCACTGAGGGTTATAACGAGCAAATAGCAGGCATTGTCTGGAGTAATGAGGCTTGATGAGTCAACCACCGAGCATACCTTCTGTGCGACATGCGCCTCGCACGTCATGGCAGTGTGGCTTTTCCTTGAGCGAAAGGACACTTTGTTAATAGCTAGTGCTGTACTCCCAGATGGTCAAGCGCGTAAGGATGTCCGAGCAGATGGAAGCTGGAAACAGATTACTGTTTGCTATACCTTTACGTTTGACTTTCCAACTTGTCGTCATAATGGATGTAATCAGGCTCCGTGCAGCTAGAAAGGATTAGGCAGCAACTTCAAAGCGGTAAAAACCACGGAAGACGCTTAATGCCAGTTGCCCACTAATACCACACCACGCGCCGTCTTAAACTCCACAATGCACTACAGGGGTATGCGTGTGACGTTCACAGTACTTCGGCCCGTCACCCCCTTGGCCGATTGATGGCAAGTTGGAAAGTGAGGAAGATGAAGTGTCTAGCTGCTTTATTCGCACTTGTAGAGTACCTGATAGTGTATAGGCAGAACCCAGGTGTCGTTGAAATAGACCGACTCTTGGGTAGAAGCCTCCATAATTAAATTTTTGGG